GTGGGAGAATCTGTCACCAGGACAGCTATTAGTCGGGCACTACACAAATCTGGTCTTTATGGAAGAGTGGGAAGAAGCAAGCCATTGTTGAAAGAAAGCCATAAGAAGTCCCGTTTGCGAGAAGCCATGTGGGGAACACAGCAAACATGGAAGAAGGTGCTCTAGTCAGATGAGACCAAAATGGAACTTTTTGGCCAAAAGCAAAACATGATATGTGGCTGAAAACTAACACTGCACCTCACCCTAAACACACCATCCCCACCGTGAAACATGGTGGTGGCAGCATCATATTGTGGGGATACTTTTCTTCAGCAGGGATAGGGAAGCTGGATAGAGTTGATGGGAAGAAGCATATTTATTTGATAAAAAATTTTGAAAACCATTAATCGTTTTCCTTCCACTTCACAATTATTTGCCACTTTTGTGTTGTCTATCACAGAAAATCCCCAAAAATATACATTTACGTTTTTAGTTGTAACATGACAAAATGCGGAAAATTTTAAGGGGTATGAATACTTTTTCAAGACACTGTACTTGAGGGAATGATTAAATCATCTGGTTTTCTTGCCCAGGTGACAGGAGATCAGAGGGACAGGAAGTGTTTGCAGGGTTTTTTTATTACTGCCTGTGTCCACCTCCCTAAACCTACATTCTTATCCTGGTGCTAAAAGTGAGATGAAATCTTTTGATGAAGTCACAAGGTGCAGTAAAAATATGACAGAAATTCTAATCTTCCTGGCACACTTTTCAAAACGAAAAAAAAGTTTTGGCTGGAGTTAAAAAAGAAATGCAGGTTTTGAAGAAAAAAAACAACAACAATTATACTCAACTAAGTAAGTATAGTATGGATCTGATACTGGATTTGTCCCTCACTGTCTCTACACCAAGATTTGAAGGATCAAAGACCGCTGATCTCTCGGGCTTCAGTCACTGGTTCTGTGCCCTGCCCCTTCAGCACTTACTGGAGCTCTAGGCTGTGAAGGGGATGGGAGCAGATGGCTCAGGTTGTCAGCACCATGCTGAGAGGCTTAGCCAGCTGCCAAACAGGCATCAGGGTTAAACCCGACATTAAAGTCGGGATCTTTCTAGAGTCTGGACTGGAGTCTTTAGCCCGCTGAATACAGGTCACAGGAGTACAGAGCAAACTGCACTCCTGTGACTTACAGGAGAAAAAGGACCAAAAAAATCTTCTCCTTTTTAAGACCTTTTTTTTTCTACTGTGCTGACAAATTGTTTTAAAGTGTATCCAATCCTAAATGTAATATATTGCAACATATGAATGTAACTGATTTTTTAATTTTTTTCGTTAGTTTATAGGCAAATGTACAGCTATTATTAGCACTGGCCCTTTATTTGAAGAAAGTTTGTAAATGAATGTCTTGTTTGTGTTATTGATAACAATATAGGACATGCTGATTTTACTTTTTTTTGTTAAAACCGTAGCAGGATGGTTGTAATCTTGGTCTATTGCATGATGACTGTGCACTCCTGTCTACCACCATATACTTTAGTAGATGACACCCCTGCTGAGTCTTCCAAGAACATGGAGTAATCTCCAGGATTTCAGATAGACCAGTAGCCTGTTTGTTCAGTATGTGGCGCACATTTTGCATCTTGGTCTGTGTATGTAAATATGGAAGCCCATCGTTTAAAGACATTTATTTTTGCTCATGGAAAAAATGTTTGCTTGTTTTTTGCATAGATAGTTTTTAAAGCTAAGTTGCATAAGCAAATACACAAAGAGTCATCATGGAAAGTTTAGGGTGCAATAACTGACAGTCTTACACACACCTTCAATTTGTTTTCTTTAAATCACAAATTAGTTTCTTTTCAACGTGATTATTTCACTGCAGATGTTCTACTTAAATGTCAACTATATTATAATGAGCCTACTACACTTATATTAGCAATATAAATGCTATAATTTTTTTGTATAAACTAAGATTTTGCCGTGGTCTATCTAACTTTACAACATTGTTAAAATCAACCATATTAATAGCCACTTACATCACCGCTAACTGGCCATGCAGGCTTCTGTGGAGGAACAATTACACAGGAGAGACTCTCCTGCGCTCTAAATGTCCCAGCATCCAATACCCCTGAGAAATTTCACTTCAACCAGATCCCCTTCTGTTTACCTCGCCCACCTGTTAGCCTGTTGGTTGGCTGAGTTTCCTCTGGCTTTTTAAATGCTGGGAATTGTAGAGCAGAGGAGAGTACTTCCTGTGTACTCGTTTCTCCACAGGAGCTTTGGTCAGGCAGTAATGACGTAAATGGCTTTTCATTAATTTAGGTTAGGGGTATTGAATTAAAATTCATGGGTGTCTGGACAGTAAAATTGTCTTTCAGCGAAGGTCCAAATTTCATGTTTTTGCTATGATGCAGATCCATCACGTTACCTTGGCCCTCATGGTAAAAACACAGGGTTCTACCGTGGGCACCTGCTAGTGTGAGATTCAGAAAGTGGCAGTGCAATGTGCATTTAAATGTGTACTTTTTCTCTTTCAACTTTATTGAAATGTCAAAATTAAGTTGCATTCATTTTTATGCACCGCAGCAAAGTTGTAGTGCATAGATACAGACTGTACATATAGCCTTCAGGCGATCTACAGTCTATTTGCAGTATGCAAATTTTCACCTCGCATGCTCAGCACCCAGGAACACTGTTGCAGTATGAACAGGGCACATAGAAAACGATTATTTTCTTTGTGCCCTTGCAGGGAGCCTTTGCAGAGAAACAGCTCTGCACAAGTATGAACAAGCCCTTACATCAGAGTCCTCAGACCCCAACTTTTTACATTAAATGTGGGTAAATGATTGCCTGGACCACCCCATGTCCTAAAAACCAATCACCTGCTTGTTAACTAGAAACGTTCTGTCTTCCATTCAGACCTGCCACACCTCCCACATTCTGCCCTGTCTTGGGAATTACAGCGGTAACAGTGGCAGGTGGGTGAGGGCACTCAGGCTGCTATTTGGCGTGGCTGCAGTCCAGATTCAGACCATGGTCTGCCATTTAGTGATGCATGATTTAGATTAGATTATGTAAATGAATCCACCATGTTAATTTTGTGTTTCATTTGGTCAAGTATAAACGCAAACCACCATGAATAAATCTGTGCAATCACTAAAATAAAGTGAAAAGATTTGTGTACAATATTCGAGGCACAGCTAAACACTCAAGGGCATTTCACATAGCCCTCTGCACAAAAATAGTGTAGCTCAACCAAATAAGTGATAAAGTATATTACATAAGTGAAGGATTTATGTATCCCAAGGTCCAGTCACCAACAGGTGTCTAACAATGGTCTGCATAGAATAACACCCATGTGTCAACAACCTCCCCAAAAAAAAGATTGGCTGCTCACCTTCAAAGTTTGACCTTTGAGGTAACAGTAGGGCATATGCACTTTCCCTTTTAAGGTCTTAAGTTCTCGTTCAATGCTGCTGTTCTCCGCTCCGGAAAAGCTCAAGTGTGGAAACATTCATGCAAAATAAAGATAGTCAATAGTGCTCTATTTGATAGATTTTTAATACTGCTAAAATAGAATGCAACTTACAAAATAAAGTGCTCTGCCGTGCTAGAATAAAAAGCACTCAATGACATTACCACTCGGTAAGATGACTGTAAGATGGCGGTTCCATCCCCGCATACGCGTTACTTCCTGGGTGGGACTTCCTCAGTAGGCATGGAGCCGATGTTGTAACTACTGCTTATATACAGTACCTTTCCCCATGGCTCTAGTATATCACCTTTAACTGCAGCCACTGTTTGAAGATTTAATGTCTACCTGTTTGAATATGTTAAAGCCAAGTATATGGGATGTATTTAGGTTTTAACGTGACTGTATGTTCCAGATTCACATTTAAAAATTTCCATTACTGGCCATCTGAAACTAAGATGTACACATCATCACATGGAAAAAGTAAGTACAGTTACTAGTTCAAATTAGAATTAGGTCTTCAAGTTTAGTTACCAATGAGTAGAACCTCCTTAAGGAGTGTGAAAGTGGGCAAAAAAACTACAAGTGGCATAGATTTGCTAATTTGTCCAGGGCTAGTCACCCTAAGAGTTGGCCATTTTGTTGCTAAAATAAATTTCCAAGAACCCCAAAATTTGTGTGATCTGCAGGTATTTCTTGCAACAACTGGTGTCAAGGTGTGTGCATCTACAATCAGAATGAGATTGCATCATTTAAACCTGTGTGGCAGGAAAAGAAACAACATTTGCTACCCTAAAATAACATTACAGCAAGACTACAGTTATTTTCATTGAACATATAGGCAAAGACCAAGCCTTCTGAATGTGCTGTGGACAGATGAATCAGCTGTTTGGCCACAGTAACAGTAAACACTTCATACCAACAGTAAAGCATGGAAATGCTATGGTTTGTTGTTGCTTTGCTGCTACAGGACCTTCGCAGCTTGCAGTCTGAGCAGGGCAAAAGGGCCTAGGCAGCTTGCTAGTCATTAGGCGACTATTGCATCACATCAAATTGAGAGAATGTGAGATCATTTGCCCAAAAGCTGACATTAAAGCAGAAATGTATCCTTTAAAATAATAATGATCCAAAGTAGCTGAAGTAGAAATAAGAGTGTTATGGCCTAGTCAAGACCCTGGTTTGAGTCTCATTAAAATGGTGTAGATGAAATTTTGAAATAAGCAGTACATGCAAGAAAACCTACAAACATCTTGTAACTGAAAGACATTTGGAGAGTTTATGTCAGGGACTGGTGGACACAAGAAGTAATTTCTGCTAAAGGGGACAATACCAGGTCAGGGGTGTACATTTTCCACAATACTTCATTACATCTGTTAATATGTTGACATTTTCCATGTATTTTTATTCAGGTAGGTCACTTTTATTTGCCTATTCAAATATGTTGAAAAAGTCAACAATTTCCATGTGTACTTGCCTGTCTTTCTAGGGCATTGTTGCATTTAGTAAAACAGAAGTTGCTTACAGTACTAGTTTTTCTTCTTACTTGATTTTGTACAGGGCTCTGGGATCAGATACTGGAGGGTCCACCCGTAACCCAGCATCACACTGTGGAGTAGTGGGTTTGAAACCCACATATGGGCTTGTTTCTCGTCATGGCCTTATTCCCTTGGTAAACTCTATGGATGTTCCTGGAATATTGACCAGATATGTGGATGATGCTGCAACAGTGCTTGGTAAGTTACCATATATTTGTATTTGGTAGTGTGCAAGGAATAAAAATGCCCATTTGTAATACAACCCTAATTCCCAAAAAGTTCAGATGCTGTCCAAAAACTACATAAAAACAGAAGTCAATGATTTTCAAAGCTTATAAACTCATTATTTATTAACAATCGAAAATAGAAAACATGTAAAACTGAAAAAATTTACTATTTTAAGAAAAAAATAAGGTAATTTTGAAATTGATGGCAGTAACACATCTCAGAAATGTTAGTACCACTAACTTTGCCATCTTTTTGTTGCCCTGTCCTAACAGGTAAGCCCCGGTTCACATATATGCGGCCGTTCCGGACGCGTTTTGCGCGGGCACGAGAGGCCATTTAGTTGAATGGACTCCCGTGCCCTGTTACACACAGGGAAGGAGTCAGTGCACTTCTTTGGAAAACGCAGCCCGCATGGGAACCTTGGTTCCCAGTACGGTTGTGATTTCCAGTACGGGCAGCGTGCCATTAGAATTAATGGCACCCGCCCGCGGGGCCGCATTCTTCTGTGCGGGTGGTGCGGCTGCATGGATTTTCGTGCGGATTCGCAGCGGCACCACCCATACTTATGTGAACCTAGCATAAGAGCTGGAAGAACATTTTGCAACTAATTAGGTTAATTAGCAACAGGTTAGTAACACAATTGCGTATGAAAGGAGTGTCTTAGAGAGTCAGTGTCTCAGAAGTAAAGATGGGCAGAAGTGCACCAATCTGTGAAAAGCTGCCTCTAAAAATCGTGGAACAATTTCCTAATAATGTTTACAAAATTACAGACTTTGAAAATAAATTATATATAAAAACACACTACACAGTAAAAGACTTAGGGTACTCAAGGTTTGCATAACAGTAGTATCCATTAGTTACAGTTTAGCAGTGTAATTGTACAATATTATAACGTTGCATAGTATGCAGCAGTCTATGCTATAAAGTGCCATACAACCAAGGATCACAGCTACGTTACCTCAGTTGTAATGTATAAAAAGTCATACCATGTGCCAAGTTTGTTCTGTATAGACATGACACTATCTGAACAAACTGCATTTCATGTGCTTACATCCTTCACAGCTCAGCTTGCAATAAAGCCATTTATAAATTACAAGTACCCATAAAGTATATATGAAAATACACATCATTAAAAGCAGTGTGACGTTGTGAGTGAATCAGTGCCACAAAACACATACAAATGTGTTTTGTAAGGAAAAAGTGCGAATGAAATATTTAGTGTAATTGTTTTTTAATTGTGCCTACATCTAAGCTAACACATAAAAAGGAAAATAAGATTTCACTTCAGGAATGTAGTGTTACTGCTGTCCCAATTACTCCATAAAGGAAAAGAAGGGTTGCCCACAACTAGATTCCTATTTATCATTTTTTCAAAGTATGCTAGGCCCTGAAAGCAGATTAGTTTATACCGGTTGGCCTTCCATTCCAAGATATTGAGGCACCATGGGAGGCCCAGGAGACATTTGGTACTCATTCCCAAAATAAAATCATTTAAGTTTCCAACAACACCCTTTACATTCTGTTGTCCCAATCCAAAAACTCCCATCAATTCATATAGTTTTCCTGAAACTAAGTAAACCAAATTCATGTAACATTTCCTATCCTGTAACAAGTTTCTGCCCAGTGTTTTTGGTTATATTGTCACTGGCCGCTGTCTTGATCATACCTTAGGCTGCTGATCTCACGAGGATTGTGGAGCCATTCTTGCAATTTGATGTCCGATGCAACTACAACTTTGACAATGTATGCATAAGGCTGTACAGAGAAGGCCCAGAAGTACTTCCCCTTAGTGATGCCAACATCAGCAATAATATAATCCAGGCACATATAGCAGCCTACTTGTACTCTCTCTGCTCCCAGTATCAGGGAAAGGCCAGCTATGCTTTCCACAGTGTCCCTTCTGTCATTTAGCAGGAGATGTTCTTTGTTGTACCCACACTTCTCATCAAAGAAGAAACTAAACACTGGTTCAGGTGGTGTCCTTAAAAGAAAAAGTTATTAATATATGAAGTATGTGTATCTAACCCAGCCTTTCTCAACCGGGGTGCCGCGGCATCCCAAGGTGCCGCCACAGGTCTTCAGGGGTGACGTGGGGAGAATGGCTGTCACTTGGGCCCGAGCTCCCGATCCCCAGCCGCACTGTACATCGGCACTGGGAGCCATCACATCGCTAAGCAAAGCAAAGGGGAGTGTGACGATCGCGGCGTCAGACCCCTGCCCTTCTCACCAAACTCGTGACCGAAGGACTAGCCAATCTAAAACCGCACTGTCACATGCGTAACAATGCCATGCCCAGCTGCGCCCTGCACACAGATTTTCCAGCTAATGGACCACAGTCTGTGTACTGGCAGCCTGGAAGCGATTGTTACTGGGTCAGGTTAATTACTCCATTAACCCATCACACTGCCACCACCTCCTTTTTGTACAGAGAAAGAGGAAACTCGGCAATGTCAGCAATAACACTAGGATGGTTGAAATAATTGTCTGTATACCACTGTCACCGCAGGCAGGTTATACAGAGGGTTAAACACACATAGTAGCGCTCTTCAGCGGCAGAAATTTGTAATTTGCATTAAAGAGCTTTAGAAACAGTTCAACACTTTCAGAAGGTAAGATTTATTACTAAAAGGTCAAAAGGGTGCGATAAAAATATTTACAGAAAAAAGATGTAATCAATATATATATATATATATATATATATATATATATATATATATATATATATATATATATACAGAGAACAATAGCACAGCAAAGAGAAAACAAAGGAGTTTAAAGGGTTAAAGTACTTGCCAATCAGCCTCGGTTTAAGCAGTTTCAAGTCTTATGAGCTCCAAAAGGATTTCTTGTCTCGCACTGCCAGTTTCGATGTTAAACGGGAGACTTTTCTTTCTTCCCACACACCGAGCATAACAGTCTTTTCCTAGGATCTCAGCAGGGTGTCTCCCTGGAGCAGTGAAACCAATCGTCTCCTTTTGGGGAGGGAAGTGTAGGTGGAGACTTAAGCTATGATCAGAAGCTCTCATAGCTGATATTTTGGCCCATAACTTTTCCTAGGTACATGTAACATTCCACCCACGGGTAGATTAATATGCAGAATTGTCTGCTGAAGATCTACATATGAAATATAACATACCTGCTGGGATGATTAAGGAGATTTTATTTTCTGCTCTCCTGTTGATCTCCGCTAGGGAAGGTAATATACCAAATGATTTGTCTCAGCGTGACCAATCTGAAGATATGCCTGTGTTTTGTGTAAGTCCCTCATATTCCAAGATATGAAATCATAGGGGGAAAATGGATTTTGAAAGTGGTGTCTAGTTTATTACTTCTCTGGAATGTCTTTGAAGTCAGTGAAGGGCTTGGTTTATGCTTTTACAATATCCCAGGTTGCACAGTTTATTAGACAGTGAGGCACCCAGCTAGTGAGGTTTTATAGCCAGGACGCCCTCCCACTGAGTTTGGTGCCTGTGATTTCTGCAAACACACACCGACCACATGTCACTCAACAGAGAGGGAGGGGGGATAAGCAAAGAGGGGAAGAGAGATCTACAAGATGGAGGGTTGGAGCAAAATGGTTGAACCACATCCATCTCTGTGGGTACGATTGCTACAGGGAGTGTCTTCTGTGCTCTCTGCTTTCCCCTAGAGTGCAGTACTCAGCTGTGTGATGGAAGGTACTGAAACTTTTCATAAGGCTGTATATGTGTGTGTGTGTATGTACGTGTGTGTATGCACGTGTCTGTGTATGTAAATGCGTTTCCATGTGTGTGTTTGTTTTATATGTGTGTGTATATTTTACTTTTAGCCTTGACTCCCTATTCCTGTCCTTTCAGAACTGTTTTTTTTTAGGACTTGTTCGTAATAGCAGCAAGGACTGCTGCTCCTCTGAAAAGCTCCTCTGAAAAGCAATCCATGCTCACATCGCTTTTCAGAGGCATTTGACAGGTGGTAAAGAGGAAATATGTTGGCTCCTCACCACCTGGTTTAACCCCATAAAAAGCAGCATCAATCACCACACCACAACTGCGTGCAATGTGCACACAGTTGCAGGGGGTTGTAGTTCAGCCCCATTCACCTGGAGGTATACTTCCAGCTGCGTCAACAGTATGTGTATACCCCCAGCTGCTGTTTCTGCAGCTAAAGGGGGAGCAGTTGGGGGAGGTAGAAGCAGCTCAATTGCGTGGTTTTACCACCCTCCAACCTCACAGGTGAACAGGCCCTTGGTTCACATCTGTGTGGCTGTGTATAGGGCAGCCCATTCATTTCAATGGGCTGCCTTACCCGCAGAAATGCAGGGAAAGTCATCCCTGACCCTTGTTTTAAAATTACACCACACCAAAAACACCCCGCATTTGCCAATGTATGTGGGTACCCCTAGAGAGCAGAGCATTTGTCTGCGTGTCAGAAATGAGCGCGATTTCACATGCATTCCGTGACACACAGTAACGTGAACCAAGCCTTGGACGGGGGTGCCTCGTGACTGAAAATACTTTTCAAGGGCACCCCAACTGGAAAAAGGTTGAGAAACACTGATCTAACCCATAAGGATGATATGAATAATATACATGGTAAAGGGGTATGTGGGAAAAAAGGGAAATAGGAAAATAAAACAGGGCAAAAGGAAAGGAATGGGAGGAGAGAATTGAGTATGCAGACGGATTGCTGCTGGGCAGTAATAGATTACCTGGTAGGGCTCCAAAATGAAATTAGATGGTATATGACAATTGTAGCTTATGGATAACATAAGACATGTACAATGATAGGGAGAAATAAATAAGGGAGGTTACACTGATGATATATGAACCATGGTCGATGAGTACCTACATAGTCATAACAGCTACATACATGAATCCAATTCTCTGTGACAAGTGGCTACAGAAACAAATGCATGATATATTGAATTGGTGGAAAAAAACAAAAGATATATATGTAAAAATAACAATATGTGTTTGCACAACCAAGTATGT